AAAGTGGAAGATGCCCAAAGAGGATATTATTTTATGAAGAATGTTTATTTTAATGTATTTGTTTTGTGAAATTTCTGGAGTTTTTAAATGTTAATGTAATGTGATGATGTTTTAAATAAAAAAAATAAAACAAAAAAAGCACATTTTAATGGATTGTGCTGATTTTAAGTGCTATAAAGGTGAAGAAAAGGGACACTTTGCAAGGAATTGTAATAATGTCAAATGTCCAGAATTTAAACAATTTTTAAACAAGTGTGAATGTTGGATGGAAGGAGAGGAAGGAGGGGGAGCAAAACAAGAGGACGGACAGGTGCATGAAAGAAACAAGGAAGAAGAAGATTTAAAAACAAGGGTTATGTAGGAGGAAACAAACAACATAAGGGAAGAGAGAGGAAAAATGTGAACGAAAAACAGACGTCAGAACAAGAACAGTGGACACAAATGGAAATAACTGACAGTTTTAAAAACTTTTTAAATATGGTGGAAAACGATGAAATAAATAAGACTGATCAAGCCGAAGAAATGGAAAGTAATGGAGAAAAACTGACAGATTTTGTAGAGAAGAACAAAGTGGAAAGAGGACTAATAAGAAGAAGAACAATAAAGGTAAAACCAAATGTGGACAGTGCAAGAAAAAAGATGTTGACAAAGGTGCGAGTAAAAAATGTAAATAGGTATGAAGTGTTAAGAGGGCTGGAAGTGAGGTGGATTTTGTGCTCTTTGGAGTGTGAAGTTAATCTATACATTCAAATTGTATGTGTATAATCTGCTTGTAGACTTGCATACCATTAAAAGAATTAAGGTGCTATGTAGAAAAGGTCATAAAAAGAAGTGGATGAGAAGAGAGCTGGACAAAGCCTGAGTAAACAACTAATGTGTCTCAGGAAATGGATAAGAATAGAGCAACACATGTGTAAACAGATGACAGAGGTGGAATTTGGAGTCAAGGGTTAAACTAGGGGGGTCTTGTGTGATATATGTAGAAATAAAGGAAAAACAGATGACAGAGGTGGAATTTGGAGTCAAGGGTTAAACTAGGAGGGATCTTGTGTAATATATGGAGAACAAAGGAAAACAACGGATGTAAAGGGGTATTTAGGTAAGGCCAGGGCATGAGTGAGACAGAACTTTTCAGACAGGGATGCTACTGGGGGTCTCCTGAAAATTCTCCTTTGTTGTCGACAATAAAGTATATTCTTCTGATATTCATAACCTCCAGACTGAGTTTGATTTAGTAAGAGAAAAACCAAGAAAACCACTACAGAAGAAGATGATGAGAAATAATGATTTTTTACCCATTTTATTTATTTTTAACATGAATTTAATTTGTGTTTCTTTTATGGAAGGGGCTGTTAGTTGAGTGACAAAAATTGGTATGCAGATGTAGAGGATGAGACTAAAAATAATGGGTGGTTTTAATATTTTAATATCTTTCATCATGTTTTTAAACATTTTATTATGGAATGCAAGCGGTTTATTGAATGTGGAGAAATTTAAAAAAATGTTGGTGTTATGTAAAGAAGCTGATGTGATTGTTTTGCAAGAAACAAATTGGAAAAATTTAAGTTTAAAATGGTTCATGGTAAATGGGATGGTCAAATATATTTTAACAGTGGAGAGGATAAAGTGGATTATGGAGTAGTGATTTTAATAAAAAAAGGTATATATGAAAAAGAAAAGGTAATATTTGAGGATGGAGTTGGGAAAAGCATGGCGATGAAATTAGAAAAAGGTGAAGATAATTTCATAATTTATAATATTCATGCATCCAATGAAAAAAATGAAAAAGTGAACTTCTTTAAAATAGTTAGTATAAATGTAAAAAATGGCAGAATGTTATTGTAGTTTGAGATTTTAATACTGTTTTCACAGAATTAGATCTGGGTAGTAAGATGGTATATAGAAAAGACAAGGGGAGGGAGGAGCTACTGAAAATGATGACAATGTAATTTAATAGATGTGTGGAGAGAGAAATAAGACAAAGAGGGAATTTTCAAGAATGCAACTGGTTTTAAATGAGGTTAAGTAGGATTGATTATATGTTATGTAATGTAGAAATAAATGACTATATCAAAAGTGTATTTTACAAAAACCTTGGATTTAGTGATCATTCGATTTTTTGTGTGACGTTAGATTGTGTAAAAGTGAAAGGGGATTAGGTGTATGGATTTTGAACGCAACAATTTTAAAACATGAGACATACAAAGAAAAAATTCAACAAATAATTGTAAACAGTAAATTTGATAGAATGTATAGGGAAGATTAAAGAATATGGTGGGACAATGTTAAGTTAGACATAAAAAAATTTCAATAAAATATTGTAAAATTTAAAAAGAGTTAAAAATAATAAAGAAATACAAATAAGAAGGGAATTAGAAGACGAAATAAAAAGACTGCAAATAGGTCAAAATGAAGAGATTGAAAAATTCATATATTTACAAGAACAACTAAAAGAGATGGAAAATGAAAAATGATTATTTTGCTTACCCCATTGGCAGATTAATTTGCTCGTTTTAAGGAAAAACTCACTTAATATTGGCATATTATTTCTCAAAACAAATTAGAAAATTCTCTTTTATTTAAGATTTTTTAGATATTTGGACTTGAAACAAGACAAAAATATAAATAAAAAAAGCATTTTTTGCAGTGCAGTGTAGAATTTTCTTGCACTTTATTGGCATGAAAAAACTCCTGTTGTTGAGCTGTTAGGGCGCTGCTAATTGTTTTACTTTTTTATCTCGTTTGGCACCAGTGTAAGAGCTGAAGGCCTGATGCTTTGTTTCATAATGTCTTTTAATATTATATTCTTATATTAATGCAACTGATTCTTGGCAAATAAAAACAGATACATTTCCCACTGACCTCTGTGAAGAAATATTCTTTGCCCCAACGTGACTGAAACTTCCTGCACTGACTGTTGATTTTCCTTTTGTTTTGGTGTGCCATGGCTCGCCAAAATGTGATTATCAATCATGTTTCCTTCAGTTTGGTCGGTAAAGCCTGATTTATACTTCTGCGTCAGGTGACCGGCATAACCCACGGCGCAGGCGAAGGGCTATGCGTCAGCGCCGTAGCATACGTAGTTTGACGCAGAAGTATAAATCAGCCTTTAGGTTTACATCATAACAAGAAGTGCTGCCTAATTGAAGGCATGTAATAGTGACACCCGGTGGTAATTTATTGAATTACGTTTATTTTTGTATGGCGGGCTTGATTCTATTAATATTTATAAATGCCTCGCCGCCACAACACTGATTGCGGGCTGCAGATGGCCCGCGGGCTGTAGTTTGGACACCCCTTTTTTAAACAATGAGTTTTATAAGAGTTTTAGAGAAATTATAGCACCTGTTTTAAAAGTATATGATGAGGTTTTTAACAAAGAAGAATTAAGTGAAAGAATGAAGATAGGAATGATTAAAATGATAAACAAAAGAAGAGAAAGTCCTTTAGATCTGAAGAACAATTGGCCCTTAACAATGTTAAATACAGATTTAAAAATTTTAGCAAAGGTTTTAGCAAACAGACTAAGGAAAATATTACCTAAAATTATAAGCACTACACAGGCATATGGAGTAGAGGGGAGGGACATAATAGACACAGTTCAAAGTATAAGAGATACATTACTGTATACAAGGAGAAAAAAATTATTGGATATTTAATTAGTTTGGTTTTAGAGAAAACATTTGATAGAGTGGAACATGACTATTTGTTTGAAGTGATTAAAAACTTTGGATTTGGGGATAAATTTCGGAAAGGGATCAACATTTTTTATTACAATATTTTGACATGTATTAAATGCAATGTTTTTTATCGTAATGTTTTCAACCAACAAGGTCTGTAAGACAAGGATGTCCACTATCTGCACTACTGTACATATTAGTAGCTAAACCACTAGCAATAAAAGCAATCAATGGAGTAAAAGGAATACAAGTAGAAGAAAGAACCGAACTTGAACCAATATACCAGTATGAAGATGACACAACTTTGTTGGTTGAAGACATCCAAAGTGTAACAAAGGCAATGGGGATTTTAAAGAAGCATTGTAAAGGGACTGGAGCTAAGATTCATGTTGAAAAGAGCGTGTGTATGAGAATTGGAAGGGCAGATGTTTTACCTCAGCACATACATTTTAAGAAAGAGAATGAGCATATCAAGATTTTAGGCATTTGGATCTGTTTGGATTTTAATAAAGCAGATCATTTTAATTGGGAGGGAGTTTTAAAAGGGATGGAAATTAGATTGAGATATTGGAAACTGAGAAACCTGACATTGAAGGGAAAGGTTTTATTAATTAAATCTCTAATGCTATCAAAAATGTGGTATGTGCCGAGTGTTACCCCATTGCCTTGTGAATACTATAAAAGAATTAAAAAAAAATGTGTTTTAGATTTCTTAAGGGGAAAAGAAAGAGCAAAAATAGCATACGACGACACGTTGATTGGAGGGAAAGAAGTTGGGGGACTTGGGCTTTTAGACCCACTTTTAAGGGTGAAAACATTAAGGACAAAATTGGTAAAATGTTTTGTAGATGTTAAGATTAAAGCAGTGTGGAAAAATGTCATGCACTATTTTTTTTAAAGAAATGTGGTCGAGTAAATAAGGGATGTAGTGTATTATCTATGAAAACAAAAAAAGAAATGTGGACAGGTATACCAACATTTTATGAAGAGCTTTTAGAAGCTTGGGGAAACTTTTTAGAAAATGTGCTCATTGTACCTAAAGGAAGAAACCAGCTGTTAGAACAACCTTTGTTTTTAAACATGAATATCACGAAAGATGAAAATGTAATATATTATAAAAAATGGTGGCAAGCTGGAATTAGGCAAGTGAAGGACGTGCTCTATGAGGTGATAAATGATAAATTGAAGACATGTTATCTGAAAATGAAGTGAATGAGGGGAAAGGAACACTTGTAAAACAGCTTGAGGATTTAAAAAGAGCAATACCACAAGAATGGGGTGAAAGAATTGAAAAATATAATGAGAACATGACTCAAAAAGAATGGGAGAAAATTTTTTTATTTGGTTACGATGTTAAAGGTTGCAATATGACTGTTTTTAATTTATGTATAACAATTGTAAAGAATGTATTATGGCAAAGTAGGGAATATTTTTTTACATTTTGAAAAAAGAAAAGTAGATGTATGGATTTTATTTAAAAACAAATAGAAAATGTCATTCAGGTTATTACGGGAATATTTCTTATTAAATGACAAAGAAAGTGACTTTATAGAAATGTTTGTAGCAGAAAATACAATGTTAGAGTTTAAGTTGTATATAACTAATGAACCTTATTGTAAAATGTAACCGATATTAATTGGAAGTTGATTTTATTTGAGATTAATGTTGAGATTAATTACTCCTTATTTATGACCATTGTTATATGAAGAAAAAAAAAACCTTAAAACCCATTTTATTTAATTTCTTATGTTCTGTATCAAAGATGTGTCTTTTGCCAGAAGATTATCTATTGCTTTTCTCTTTTCATTTTAGCCACAAGTTTGCTTCTTTTAATCGAATTTATGAATATCTTGAACCACATAAAAAAAATAATAAAAAAAACATAATGAAAAAGGTCTTCAAACCTTAAAGTCTAAAATAACTTCTTAATGTGAGGGGAAAGTCTTCCTTCTCTAAAGGGCCCCTTCTCCTTGCTGTGCCTATTGCACAAAAAAAATTAATGAATATATTCAGCACCCATATCTGGCAAAAACATATTCTTGGATTTCTGGCTAGGTTTTCAAGTTAAATGTTTCTAATTACAGCAAGGGATTTTAGGTGTATAAATTAGAATCCCTTTATGTCTTCCTACCAGTATGTTACTCAGTGACTCGAGTCTTGGTGTGCTTTAATCGTTCATCTTGTGACGTTGGTCAGTTCGGTTAAATACTATTCTTCCTTCAAATGATTTAAATGTCCATCATCTGTGAATCAAGTCAAGAATTTTTACCAGCCTCTCAGAGTTCTTTGTTAGGATCTGTCAGATGTTACCCTTCTTTCAAATGGAGCTAGTGTTGACCCATGGAAATTAACATAGCTTTTCCCTGATGTTCGCTTGATGTTTTTCCTAACTTTTCTTTGATGTCACTCCAACCTTTTGCCAAAGTCTTTGTTTCACTTTCCCAGAGATTCCTATAATAGTTTCTTTACTGTTTATCAGTCCTTTTTCTTTCAGATCTCTTGATGCCCCGTCATTGAAATGTACATGACCGCCCTGTTTTCCAGAAAGATTTTAAGTTTCGCCGGCGGTGGTGTTTGAAACTTAATCCCCTTTTCTTTCAGAATTTTTCTATACGGGACTATAAAACATGTACGAACAGAGAGAGATATCTGCCATGTCCCTTTGAAGTCGGCAGAGAGTACTTCAGGACTGTTCTGTGGAACGTCCCAAACTCGTTACTTGTCAGCAGGAATTTTTTTAGGCCAGACTTTTTGTCACCGAATGACCTAAATTCCCCCGGAAAATTGAAACCAGATCATTTTCATGGAATGTTGAACGAAATGTTTATCTCCAGCATATATGTTACACTTATATAACTGCTAGACATGCAGATGAACCTGTCTCATACAGCTGCCATTGCACGGCTCAAAGACACTTTGTAGAGTGCAATTTAGCACAACTGCCTCTAGGAGTCACCAATGGAAATAAAACAAACACACACAAGAAATGTGCATACGCCAGGCATGAAGTTGGGTGGATCTGCACACATTCCCACATTATTTCATCATTAGTAAAGCAAAGTTTTTAGGTTTTTGTGTTGATACATGAGGCCCCAGGTTCATTGTTTTGTATTCCAGGAAGAATACCACTGCTGATCTAGGCTGTGCGTCAGCAGGTGGTTTTGGTCCGAGTGCCCGGTGACACTGTTGGATTTTAAGGTCCAATTCATCAAATAACAGCGCCATTATAATAATCGTTTCCATCAAGTCTTGGATATTATTCCCTTCGCTTCCTTCCGGGATGCCAAAAATCTGAATATTATTGCTACGGAGCGTGTTTCTAGATTTTACAGTTTCTCTTGTAAATTTTCTTGAATTTGGATGATTTGAGCATTTCTTTCATCTCAGCAACGTTCTTCTTAAATTCTCCAACTCGCTGCTCCGCTTCGTTGACCTTTTCTGCCGTTGTGTTAAGGTCCGTAATGAGGCCATAAAGTTTTTGACAGACTTCTTATTTAAAGTTACTTAGTTCCATTTTCACGTCTTTTGCGAGAGAATCTTGGAAGGCGGTTAAATCGGATTTTATATCCATCCAGAAAGTTTTGATGTCTGTATGTATTGCTGCAATGCAAGCTGACAGGCCACATCAGCTATCCCGTCTGTCTCAGATTTTTCATCTGTGGATTTCCATTTTTTTCAGGTTTCAATGTTTGTTTTGTCTTAGCCTTTTTGTTTTTGTCCCCCTCCATGTTACATAAATATGGTTTAGGTTATCATATATGATGTAAAAAGAGGGATTAATGCCTGTGTGTATGGTAGTGCTCTTTCTAGGCTGCTACACTGTCGACACCATACCAGAATCCATCCCATGTGTCTCTGAAGCTGCCCAGAATGAGTGAAACTGAAGACACTGATTATGTCTACGGTTTCTCTCCAGTGTGAATCCTCTCATGTGTTTTCAGGGTTCCTGAGTGAGTAAACCTTTTGCTGCACTGTGAACACTTGTACGGTTTTTCTCCAGTGTGAATCCTCTGGTGCCGTTTCAACTCTGCTCCAAGCACACATACTCTCTCACACCGAGAGATCTTCATGTGTTTATTACAATGTGATAAGTGGCTGAAACTCTTTCCACAATGAGAACATGTGAATGGACTCTCTCCAGTGTGGATCCTCATGTGTTTATTAAGATATGATGATTGGCTGAAACTCTTCCCACACTGAGCGCATGTGAATGGTTTTTCTATCGTGTGGGTCATCATGTGTCTACAAAGCGATGATGATATCATGAAACTCTTCCCACACTGAGTGCATGTGAATGGTTTCTCTCCAGTGTGAATCATCATGTGTAGATTAAGGTGTGATGATTGGCTGAAACTCTTCCCACACTGAGTGCAAGTGAATGGTTTCTCTCTAGTGTGGATCCTCATGTGTTTATTAAGGTATGATGATTGGCTGAAACTCTTCCTACACTGAGCGCATGTGAATGGTTTTTCTATCGTGTGGGTCATCATGTGTCTACAAAGCGATGATGATATCCTGAAACTCTTCCCACACTGAGTGCATGTGAATGGTTTCTCTCCAGTGTGAATCATCATGTGTTGATTAAAGGATGATGATTGGCTGAAACTGTTCCCACACAGAGTGCAAGTGAATGGTTTCTCTCCAGTGTGGATCCTCATGTGTAGATTAAGATGTGTTGATTGGCTGAAACTCTTCCCACACTGAGTGCATGTGAATGGTTTCTCTCCAGTGTGGATCCTCATGTGTAGATAAAGGTTTGATGATTGGTTGAAACTCTTCCCACACTGAGTGCATGTAAATGGTTTCTCTCCAGTGTGGATCCTCAAGTGTAGATTAAGGGATGATGATTGGCTGAAACTCTTCCCACACAGAGTGCATATGAATGGTTTTTCTCCGGTGTGGATCTTCATGTGTCTATAAAGCGATGATGATTTGCTGAAACTCTTCCCACACTGAGTACATGTGAATGGTTTCTCTCCAATGTGGATCATCATGTGTTCATTAAGGTATGATGATTGGATGAAACTCTTCCCACACTGAGTGCAGGTGAAGGGTTTCTCTCCAGCGTGATTCCTCATGTGAATCTTCAGTTTGCTTTTGCTTGCCAAACTCTTTCCACACTGAGTGCAGGTAAAACAACTCTTGTCTCTCGCTTTTAACACACCATCAGTCTCTAAATGAGTTTTGTCCTCAATTTTGACAAGATGTTCCTCCTCTTTACTCTTCTCATACTCTTTAATTAGGTCTGAAATAAAAAAGTTCAGCTTTTAGTAAATCATTAAAACTCTTATTGAATCACCTTAATTTTGATGCAGATTAAATGTAAAAACAGCAGATCATATTTAGATTGATCTTTTCATTTCAACCTCCTGGGGTCCATTACACACAAACACATTTAAGCAGATTCTTAAATGATTAATACCAGATCATTTTGGTCATATTGATGAGACATAAATTTAAAAAAATGTAAATGGCCAGTTTTTTTTTTGTTGTTTTTTTTTGTATATATTCGTAATCACATCAAAACAACATGTTTTTGTAAAACTTGTAAAGCAGATAGGGAATGCTTTCTTATTCTGTGCCTGACTTGTAAACCTGTCAGGAAAAAAACAGCTGAATCTCTGAATATTTGCCTCACAGACATATCTGCATAAAGCCTTAAATCTGCACCTTTAAATGACAAATGTTTTCTGGTTTAGTAATCTGCATGTAACAAATGCAATGCAGAATTCTAACACTTTGAACTACATAGCCTTGTGTGAAAATGTTTTCCCCCAATAAAACCACTTTAATTTATCACACTGGCTTCAAGTTCTCTGGCCACACCCAGACCTGATTACTACCACACATTCACAATCAAAAAAATCTTCTAAATAGGACCTTTCTGACAAATAAATTAGACCAAAACAGCCTCAAAAGCTAGACATCATTCCAAAATCTAAAGACCTTTAATCACAAACAAGAAAGAAAATACTTGTGTCAAGAGTAAAAAAAAATAAAAAGAGTGAACTCAAATGTAGAAAAACAACAAGTCTTTATTGAGGAGTGAGTCCTGGAAAAAGTAAATATCAAACAAGCGGTTGGGTGGCGCTGAGGAATTGCCGTGGGGAAAAAACAACCAGACACTGGCTCACCAGTAGTGCTGGAAACAAATACAGGGTAAGTAAAATATTATTTGTATACAAACAATCGAAAACATTCTCACAAACATGAAGGGAAATGATGTGGTATAAACAGAAAAGGAAAACGAGAGCTCCTGTGACTGCAAATAAAAGCAGATGATGAGATAATTTGTAACCCAAAACAGGAGGAGAGAACAAACACGTGACATACGGTGACAGTACCCCTCCCTTAAGAACAACCCCTGGCATTGCCTTAAGACTCACTATGGACCTGATGGAACTCATCAATGAGAAAGCGGTCCAGAAAATTCAGAGCCGAAATCCAACATCTCTCCTCTGGACTTCCAGTCTACTCGTTTCAGATGACTTCTCTACCTATCCTCCTCACATCCAGAAGCCAGTGCACTGTGCATGTAAGTGCACCCTAAACCAGCCTGGGAGGCAGAGGAGCAGAGGTTAAGGGCTGCAGGGGGGAGAGAATAATTGGTTTATTTGAGAATACATTCCTAAATATTCCTAGCAAATGTAATAAATGTGGAAACACTTGTTACATAAGCGCAATAAATCGCACTTCTGCAGCGCTTGTTTGAGAGTGCACAAGAAGATCTGCGCTTGAGCAGCAAATATTTGAGGGGGCGTGCAAGAAAGTTTTGTGCACGAGCAGGGGAAATCGGTGCACAAGCAAAGAGATTTGGATACAAGCTTGCAGGCTATTACATAAATGCGATCTTAACTTGTAATACTGCGCTTACAACATATGTCACTGAAATAACGCCACAAGTAGTTGATAGATGTGTGAAAAAAAAGGCCTGCCGCCACAGCTGGAAAAAATCCTACAAGAAACACTGGATTTTGAAAAAAAAAGGATGAATGTTTTTAAACTTGGAGCTTAATTTAAGTTGTAACAACACTGGACTGAGCACCTTGATAATGGTAAATGGTCTAATGAATTTGGGTCCCAATTTATGGGAGGAAAGTCAGAGGAAAGTCTTTGGAAGACAACCAGACTTTCTGACCACACATGTATAGAGGGGGCAGACGCTTCAGTCCTATTGCCAGCCCTTTTCTGGTGATACTCCATGTCTAGAGGCATCTCTGAATGAACGAATACATGAGGGAACAATGTCATCTGGTTCTTGGGAAGAGAGTACACTTTTTTTCACAAGGCCACCATTTTAAAGAACGAAAGCTAGGCTGGGGTGAGAAAAAAAACTTAAGTATAGGATCAGCACTGTAAACATTGCAACAACATGCTGTGGACTACAAACCTCCAGCTGTTGCTGCGATTTCAAAATGCAAATGGTGTAAACATCACTTTAATATCATTCAGTTCAGTTTAATTTAAACAATTAAAAGCAGGTTAGGTATCAAACTAAATTACAATCTCTTTAAGAATAATACGCTTAAGTGTCCTCCTAGGATTCAGTTCATGGCACCAGGTAAACACAGTGGGGACCATTCCTTGCTTCAGCCTATGTAACCGGGTGAGCGACAAAACATTGCAGTCCTCTGTAGCACACCCCTCGTGTTGTCTGTAATAGTGTTGTCACGGAACTTAGGTTTTAAACACGTTAATTTCTCGCTAACATTTAAGTGCCACTCTTAAACAGTGCTGATTTGGCATAGTGTTCACTGGTGCCCACCAGAAATGGCTGTGATTAAGATATACATCCAGGTACACAATGTTCCTGAGTGACTCCAGGGGATACTTCCAGGATTCTTCCCAAAGCGGCCTCGATTTTGCTTTTAAAATGGCGGCCTCGAGAAATCAGTCTACAGAGGGGGCTGGTAGCCTAAGCAGCAGTGAAAGGGAGACAAGCCCATAGGCAAGATGGGAAGGGAGTTATATGCATATTTGACCATGGTTAATCTGAAACTCCAAGATAATGGCAACGCAACGCAAGACCCTCTCCAGTCACAGATTAGCTTGCTCGGCCTGGCCATTGGTCTGTGGGTAGTGCTCGTGAGAGAGGCTAGCAGTTGCCCCCAGCTGTCAGCAGAATTCTGCCCAAAACATGGACACAAATTGGGGACCCCTGTCTAAAACCATGTGAACTAGAAGGCCATAAATACGGAATACGAAGATCCAAAACAATGGCTGCTGTCTTCCTCGATGAAGGTAATTTGGGGAAGGGAATAAAGTGAAGCTACCTTCAAGAATCTGCCCACCACAGTGAGGACTACTGTGTTGCACAGGATGGGGGTAACCCAGTGACAAGCCAACACAAACTGAACAGTGTTCCACACCATTTAGAGGCACCAGAACCATTATTTTTGAATAACCATGATTAACCCAAGGGTGCTATCTGCTCCTGGATGGCAGGCTAGCTCAGATGAGTGACCCCTACATAAGACATACCTGTACAGCATCTGCATAAAGGCTGGAATGTGCACCTTTCTTCTTGTGTGCTGTTGGGTCATTTTCATCCAATCTGGGGTGATTTTGAGGCTTAATTTGACCAAAACTTTCTCTGTGTTTCAGCAAACAGATTGATATTAAGGGACATCTTATTTTGACATATTCTGGGAAAATGCTTTGCAATAAAAAAATAAAAAAACTATACACTCTGGGCAAATTTACTCCATTTTCGTTATATTCATAGCTGCGTTTTTTCCATTGGCCTCTATTATGACCAGGGCTTTACCTTAACTTTTTTTAATCACCGGCCACTGTGGCTAGTTGTTTTCCAATGTTACTGGCCACTAAGCATTTTTACTAGCCACAATTTTGTTGTTGGGAAAATATATTTTATATGCATAAATTTGATGGTGACATGCTAAACTTACTTGATTTAAATTTTGTGTTATGTCCACATGCTTCCAAATTCATTTCACTTTTTGTGTGTCGAGTATGAGTTTGCTCAATGAGCATGAGCAAAGGAGTCATGGTTTCATAGTGTTATACTGCAATTAGTTTTTATTTCACATGACTTTTTTAGAGCTCAAAATTAACGATGTACCAAATTTATCTCTATAACCACACGAAACAATAATTATTTTTAGCCACAAATTTTTAATGTGTCAAAACAAGCAAAATATAGCTGTATACTGTACTTTTTATTCAACAAAACATTTCTTAAAAAAGAAAGAAAAGCAATTGACTTTTAAAAAATAACTATTGTCATGTATCAAAAATATGCACAGTAATCTGTCATGGCTAAAGATCTCTCGGATCTTTTAAATATTAATAATTAAACCATTTTAACAAAAATAAAAGCAAATAAAACCGTATGCAAATGAAAGCAGGTGAAACATACCGTATGTGATAATGAAAGGATGATCACATAGACACGGTTAACTTTAGGCCATTTAATAATCTGTTCAAAGTGAAAGCAACCGGTACTGCTTACAAAAAGACACATTTTAAGCTCTTAAAAGCATTAGGACCGTGGGTGCATGTTCATCACATTTTGTCTAGTTTATTTGAAAGAGAACCGATTGAACAGGGTTGCTTCACGATTCGGGAGCACACACGCGTTAAGCAGTCGCGCACATCACATCAGCTGGTAGTGCGGGTGATCAACATTCTCTCATTCGGTATTCACTTGCTTTCTTCTGCTCGCATGATCACAATTATTTTACTTCTCGATTCTAAGATCACATTGGCACCCATATTGGGGCATCCTTTTATTGCCGGACCCCGCTTTTAGGAAAACTAAAATTTAAAAAAAAAATTTTAACCAGCCAAAGTGGCTAGTGGGATTGTCTGTCTAACCCGCCAAAGCTGAAATCTACCCGCATTTGGCGGGTTGGCTGGTGTTAAAGGGTCACGAAACACCAAAACACATTTTTTGAGCTGACAGTTGTATATGTGTCCCACACTGCTAAAAACACTATTAGGACACCTATATTTCACTTAAAAGTGTAAATTGGTTGTTTTTGCGTTATTTTAAGCAAATTCGTACTTCCGGTTTGAAACGAATT